ATGGAGCTGGAGAAGTTCTATAAAGAAGACCACACCATCTATAAGATCATTGTCAGTGATTTTAATGCCAAGATAGGACCAACAAGATTACCCGAAGAACTTAACATTAGAACCCATAGCCTAGAATGGAACGAACAGGATGACAGACTGTCTGAGTTCATCATGTCAACCAAGATCATCCATGGTACCTCACAGTTCCAGAAGGCCGAATCTAAACATTGGACATGAGAGTTTTCTGGTGGATGGTTCCATAACGAAATTGAGCACATCATATTCAAAAAAAAAAAAAGACTGCACTGGCGCCGTGTAATCCCATCAGCGGCCAAGACTCAGAGACTATAAAATCCAGATCCCGGACGAGAACAGTGCAGTCTTTTGCCCCCGCGCCTGGGTGTCCCTCGCCGGGACCCCTTGGAGGGGAGCGGGTCGAGCTTTCCTCCCCGCCCCGACCGGGGCTCCGGCAGCCGAAGACCTCCAGGACCAGCCACCACCATGCTGAGACCACTCTCCGCACACATGAAGGTACTGGCAGAGGGACAAAGCCACGCGGGTTCCAGGGCCGAGACCTCCAAGCCTACTCGAATTGGAGTCGAGCATCTTCCACCCAGATCCTCCAAATTCCAGTAGGCGGGGGTCACACCCACCACCTGGCCCCCTGGCGCCGTGTAATCCCATCAGCGGCCAAGACTCAGAGACTATAAAATCCAGATCCCGGACGAGAACAGTGCAGTCTTTTGCCCCCGCGCCTGGGTGTCCCTCGCCGGGACCCCTTGGAGGGGAGCGGGTCGAGCTTTCCTCCCCGCCCCGACCGGGGTTCCGGCACCCGAAGACATCTTATTACCTCATTCCTACTTTGGACAAACTTGCAGGCTATCGAATGTAGCCTGCCCACAGGGCAGAGTCTGGCAAACTCCCCGTGGCCTACCAAATATGCCAAATACCAGTAACAATGATGGGTCTCATTCTCCTAAAGAGCCGTGAATATAATCTCAGGGCTAGGATGAAAGAGACGTTACTGGGGCCTGCTCGAGGCAATCGACGATTAACAGGATGATGAAATGAAATGAAATGAAATGAAATGAAATGTTCAATCGACAGTTTTGCCTGACTGATGTTGCTATTATCCCAAAATTCCAAATGGGATTGGACCGCCATCTACTTTGTGCAAAATTCTACTTCACAGAGCGGAGAGAAAGGAATGCAAAGTTTAAGAAGAGAAATTCCAGAACGACCACCAACTGGGAGTTCTTTGGCTCTGTTGTGGCAACATGGGAAGATGCCGTCATTGACAACATTGACGTCATTGACAACATTGACGAGGGAAATGATCCACTGGTTCAGCATCTCCATGATTATGCGAGGAATGCCAAGAGAGAGATAATCACAAAAAAAACGCCTGTCTTCGAAAACTCTTGAGCTAATTCGCCAATGTGGCTTAGCGCATGCCTCAGGCAACCACAAGCGAACACAAAGCAGTGCAGAGAACTGATCAAGGAAGACTTCAAAGAGAGAAGAGCAGAAGTGCTGGTAGATGCGGCAGAAGCCGGGAAAAGCATTCATAATGCCCGCCTGTCCTTCACCAACTACAAGACCAAGATGACTGCCCTCCGACGTCCTGATGGATCTATCACATCTTCCAGAAGGGCAATGGAGAAGATTAGTGATGACTTCTACTCACAATCACAATCACAATCACAAATCATCTTGTTATTCGTCAATTGCCTCGAGCAGGCCCCAGTAACGTCTCCTTCATCCTGGCCCTGAGGTTATATTCAAGGCTCTTTAGGAGAATGAGACCCATCATTATTACTGGTATTTGGCATATTGGGTACACCACGGGGAGTTTGCCAGACTCTGCCGTGTGGGTAGGCTACATTCAGTAGCCTGCTAGTTTGTCAAAGTAGGAATGAGATGTCATAATAAGATGTTGCGTGGCCGCAAATGCGGCCACGCGGTTCTGGAAGCTGGTTTTTATAGTCTCAGAGTCTTGGCCGCTGATGGGATTACACGGCGCCAGGGGGCCAGTTGGTGGGTGTGACCCCCGCCTACTGGAATTTGGAGGATCTGGGTGGAGGATGCTCGACTCCAATCCGAGTAGGCTTGGAGATCTCGTCCCCAGAACCCACATGGCTTTGTCCGTCTGCCAGTACCTTCATGTGTGCGGAGAGTGGTCTCAGCATGGTGGTGGCTGGTCCTGGAGGTCTTCGGCTGCCGGGGCCCTGGCGAGGGCGGGGAGGAAAGCTCAACCCGCTCCCCTCCAAGGGGCCCCGGCGAGGAATAGCCAGGCGCGGGGGCAGGAGACTGAGCTCTTCTTCTCAGAGACTATAAAAACCAGCTCCCGACTTCTACTCAGATCTCTTTAATAGCCACGTCCACTTGCCCACATACCAAATTCCACAGGATGAATATGTCATTCCCAACGTTCTACCTTCTGAAATCCTACACACCATCTTGCGGAAAAGAAACAAAGAGCACCTGGCTCAGACAAGGTCAGACCTGAACACCTGAAGAACCTACCATCAGTACTCATCAATACACTGGCTCGGCTCTTCAGACTCTACCTGTCTGAATGCCAGGTTCTGTCCCAATGGAAAACCAGCAGGACTGTACTACTATACAAGGGAGACATCTACGACATTGGCAACTATTGCCCAATCTGCCTATTGTCTGTCATTTACAAGTTGTTCACTCGAATAATCCTGAATAGGGTTGGAAGAACATTAGATGAAGGACAACCATGTGAGCAAGCTGGGTTCCGCAAAGGATTCAGCACCATCGACCATATCCACACGATAGCCAAGCTCATTGAGGTTTCTCGGGAGTTCAAGATGCTGCTCTGTCTAATGTTCATTGATTTAAAGGCCTTTGATTCTGTTGAGACAGAAGCGGTCATCGAAGCCCTAGCCAATCAGGGTGTTCAAACTCAATACATCAGATCCCCCATGAGCTGTATTACGGATTCACTACCAGGATCTCACCATTCTACAAAGAAGTGATCATCCACGTCAAGAGAAGGGTTCGGCAGGGTGATACCATTTCACTGAAACTCTTCAGTGCCACCCTCGAGAATGTCATGTGATAACTGGAATTGGAAGGAATGGGAGTGAAAATAGATGGTCGGCAACTACATCACCTCTGCTTTGCTGATGACATCATTCTAATAACACCAAACATCAGCCAAGCGGCACAAATGCTGACTGACTTCAACCATGAGTGTGGAAAGGTCAGATTACAGCTGAATCTCACAGAGACAATGTTCATGAGAAACAGTCTTGTTCCTGACGTTCCATTTACTCTCAATGGAACAACCATTTCCGAATGCAACAGTTATGTGTACCTAGGTTGAGAAGTCAACATGACAAATGACCTAGCACCTGAGTTGTGCAGGAGAGAGAGTGGCTTGGAATGCCTTCAAGAGCATCAAAGAAATAACTAAGAGGATGAAGAATCTCCAGCTCTGAGCACATCTCTTTGATTCCACTGTTCTTCCTGCATTAACATATGCCTCAGAGACCTGAGCCCTACGAAAACAGGATGAGAAGTTATTCTGGTCTCTCAAAGAGGAATCGAAAAAGCTATGCTTGGAGTATCATGCTTCACTCAAATGAGAGAAAGAATACGGAGTTCTGACTTCCGTCAATGCTCAAGAATCAGGGAAGCTGTCTCGTTTGCCAAGGCATCAAAAATCAAATTGACTGGACACGTAACGAGATTTAGAGATGACTGCTGGACTAGAGCCATTACCAACTGGCTTCCATGGGACCTCAAAAGACCGCGTGGATGCCCACCTATGAGATGGTTAGACTTCTTCATCAAAACCCTGAATGATCAGTTTTAGGCTCTTCATGTTCTTAGAATGAGCAGATGCCATTGGGCTACGCTAGAACACAACAAGGGATGAATGGAGATGTTACTGGCTCCCACTCGAGCAAATCAATGAGTAACGGGATATCACGTGATCAAGTGATGTCATCAGAATCTTCTTAGATTTTAGGGGTTTATTAAATTCAATAATTTTTCTTCAAGTAGTGCAATAGCCATCTTTAGTCATAATGAAATCATAAATCATCACAGTCTATTTCTTTATATCTTAAGGCAACTTTAGGATTGAAAATTCATATAGAGGGCAAGGGTTGTGGCAGATTGCCTACTATATACACATAAAACTTGGGTTCAATCTCTAGCATCACAAAAGCAAAGAAACAAAATCTCACTGTTGGTTCAGCTGTGGATGACAATTCTTTAAGAAATAAATTTCTTTGGGGCTGGAGAGGTAGTACAATGGGCAGAGTGCATACATTGCATGCAGAAAGCTTGGGTGCAATCCCAGCATGATGCCTTAAGTATGAGCTGGAGCTACCCCTGAGTGTGGAGCAGAGAAAAAACCCTAAGCACCACTGTGTATGTTCAAAAAAAACAGAAACAAATAAATAAATACAACTTAGTGTAAATATTAACTCATTAAATAAAGTTATTTAACTTAAATTTAGGAAATTATATTTTAATAATAATTTATAGTTATTAATTTTTTAAGATAATAAATCTCTTTGGGTGGGGTATTGGACTACATCTGATTATGCTCAGAACTTATTCCTGGCTTTGCACTCAGGGACCAATGTTCAGTCCTTGCAGGGCTCAGGGGACTGTATGGGGTGCCTGGGATTAAACCTATGTTGGCCACATGCAAGGCAAGTGCTTTACCATTTGGACTACCTCTCCTAGCCTTTAAAGTAGCCAGTCTCGGGGCTGGAGTGATAGCACAGCGAGTAAGGCGTTTGCCTTGCACGCGGCCAACCCGGGTTCGATTCCCAGAATCCCATATAGTCCCCCAAGCACCGCCAGGAGTAACTCCTGAGTGCAGAACCAGGAGTAACCCCTGTGCAATGCCAGGTGTAAGCCAAAAAGCAAAATAAATAAATAAATAAATAAATAAAGTAGCCAGTTTCACATTGTAATTTATCAAATGCAATTATTTTACTTATTAAAAAACAAATAGATACCTCATGCTGCTTAAATTTCTCTTTCCATATTTTCTCCTGTGTATGGAGCTCCTCATTAATCTTGTTTTGTTCTTGCTGAAAATTTGGTAATATTAAATATTACATTAGGGGGATAAAAAAAACATTTAAAACTTAATAATAAAATTGACAAGTGATAGCACAGCGGGTAGGGAGTTTGCCTTGTACGCGGCCCACATGGCTGACCCGAGTCTGATTCCTCCACCCCTCTCAGAGAGCACAGCAAGCTACCGAAAGAATCTCAACCGCACAGCAAAGCCTGGCAAACTACCCATGACATATTCGATATGACAAACACAGTAACAAGTCTCACAATGTTACTGAGCCCGCTCGAGTAAATCAATGAACAATGGGAGGACAGTGACAATGACATTAACATGTCAAAGTTCCTAACATAAGCTTATCACAACATTTATTTATAAACAATGATTGGAGATACCATCTTACCCAGTATTCCAAATTAGTCTTTAATTTAAACTTATAAATATATAAACGTACAAATCATATAAATCATATAACATATAAATCAATATTTTTCAACTGGGAATCACATGGCCATTTGTGGATTCCTGGGATATCCCAAGAGCGCCACATGTGAAAATCGCATAAATGGGGATCATGGCAGAAGACTTGTGTGGAACTACTGTTAAGATAAGAGGGCATATGAAATGCCAGAAGGGGTGTAATAGAAAAAAAATTTATAAACACTAATATAAATGATGGGCTGGAGTGATAGCACAGTGGTAGGGCATTTGCCTTGCATGCTGCCAACATGGCCGACCCGAGTTCGATCCCTCTGTCCCTCTCGGAGAGCCTGGCAAACTACCAAGAGTATCTCGCCCGTACAGCAGAGCCTGGCAAGCTACCCATGATGTATTCGATATGCCAAACACAGGAACAACAAAGTCTCCAATGAGACGTTACTGGGCCCGCTTGAGCAAATCGAGGAACAGTGATTGTCTCTCTGGCTCCAAATATAAATGATACCCATCTATATTTCCATTTTGAGTATATAAACAACATAAAAATAAAAATAGCTACTTTTGAAAAAACTAGTAAGACTGATAAATCCTTCCATAGACACACACACACACACACACACACACACACACGCACACACACAAAAGAATTCAGATGAAAATGAAAGGGGAGAGGTTAAAAAAGGATTACAGGGGAGAAACAAAATGTCAAAGAGGTTATTAAGCCTAAACATCATCAGGTGACTCTCCGACCCCACCCCCCTAAAAAAAAAAAAGATAGTTCATTAAAAATTCTAATGCCACAAAACTGGAGAACCTAGAAATAGATGATTTTTTTCTGGGGCTTGGGTATTAGGCCACACATAACTGTACTGAGGGCTTAGTTCTGGATCTGTGCTCAAATCCTGTCCTCAAGTCTGTGCTCAAGATCACTTTTGGAAGGGATCAAGAGTTCATATGAAGTGTCAAGGATTAAAACAGGATAGGCCACAGGCAAGACAAGCATCACAACCCCTGTGCTATCTCTTTGGCCCCAAAAATGAATACATTTTCAGAATCATATAACCTACCAAGACTCAACTGGAAGCAAATAGAAAACCTAACCTATTAATTACTAGTATGGAAATTCAAACAACAATCAAAATATCTCCAAAATCAAAAGTTCCTTTCAGAGGAACTCACTAACTTCTTTAAAGATAAAAAAGTGACAATCAATTTTTCTAAAACTCTTCCAGACATTTTAAGAAGCATAAATTCTTTCTAGTACTTTATATGAGGGCCCGATACCAAAAGCAGAGACACTAAATGAAAATTACAGACCACTATCCCTAATGAACACAAATACAAAATTCTTCAACAAAATCTTAGGGAACCAAGTTCAACAGTCTATCTAATGGGTAATATGCCATGATTAAACAAAATTTATCCCAGTGGTGCAAGAATGGTTCAATACATGCCAATCAATTAATGTGTCATGCCATTCAAATATCAAGAAAAACAAAAATCATATCATGATATAAATATATTCAGGGGAAATATTTGGCGAGATCATATTGTGAAATAAAAATGTAAATAAAATAAAGCTAAAATTTTGTCGTTTATATAAGAGAAAGCTATGATTAGACAAGGCCTTAAAACACTCTAATTACTTTTTAATTAATTTTTACATATAATCTGAAAATGTGATTTACTAAACCAGAATGGCTAGAATATCTAGGAACTAAGTGTGCACATATTCAAGTTCTCTTTAAGAGAGACACAAAACTAGAGGCCCTGTGAGGGTGGTGTCTGGAGCTATGCAGCTAGATGCCAGCAGAACCAGTTCTCAAGCTCAGATTTCCAAAGGACTGGAACCCAGGTGGGCCATGCCACTAAGAGCCAACTTTCAAGGACTTGTGTAATCTTCCCCTATCCAGTATAGCCAGTGGAGGTAGCATCCAGAGTCACACCATGAGTTATTCTCCCTCTCCATATCCCGTAGCACTGTAGCACTATTGTCCCATTGTTTATCGATTTGCTCAAGCGGGCACCAGTGCTGCCTCCATTGTGAGACTTGTTATTGTTTTTGGCATGTTGAATATGCCACAGGGAGCTTGCCAGACTTTGACATGTGGGTAGGATACTCTTAGTAGCTTGCTGGGCTCTCCAAGAGGAATGGAGCAATCGAACCTGGATTGGCCACATGCAAGGCAAACACCCTACCTGCTGTGCTATTGCTCCAGCCTGTAAGAACCATAAATTAGCCTCTTAGGTGGAACTTTCACTAGGACAGCCCGATCACCAAAAACACATTAGGCCAATAATTTATTAGCCCCACCTCAATTAATATTACATCAGAAACACAACAGTAACAGTGAGTGTGAAAGTCTAAACCTCACAGGTCAGTGGCAAAACAATGCAGAAGCACACCAAGCTCAGTTAGTGAAGAAATTAGCCCAGAAGACCCAACCAGTAATGGTGTGCTAGACAACCTCTCTGATCAGAAATTTAGAAGGGAGTTACGGAGAATGCATAGGGAGCAAAAAGAAACAATGGAACTCACCTCAAATAAAGTACAAGAGGATTTGAGAGCATAACTGTGGAAAATGCAAACAAAATTACAAGCAGAAATGACAGATCTGAAAAACCTGGTAGGTGAATTGAAAAACTCAGTGGGCGGGCTCAGCAACAGAGTAACAGCTTCTGAGGACAGAATCAGTGAGCTCCAAGATGAGGTGCAGAGACTCTCCAGACAACAGAAAAAAACGGAAAAGAGCCTCAAATGAACCAACAGATGTCAAAATGGGATAAAAACCTATAACAATAATCTTTCAACATCAATGGGCTAACCGAACCAATTAAAAGACACAGAGTGGCAGGATAGATCAGAAAATTGAATCCAACATTCTGCTGCCTGTAAGAAACACAACTGAACAGTCAGAGCAAACACATATTCAGAGTCAAAGGCTGGAAAACAATTCTACAGGTAAATAACTCCCTTAAAAAAGCTGGGGAGGCCATTCTGATATCCAACCACATTGGCTTCAGATTGAGGAAGGTCAAAAGAGACAGTAAAGGTCATTTCCTAATAATCAAGTGATCTGTACATCAGGAAGAACTTACACTCCTTAACGTATACACCTAATGAGGGACCAGAAAATACTAAAAACGATTTATAGACTTCAAGAAAGTCATAGATAGCAATACAATACTAGTGGAAGATTTCAACACTGCTTTATCACCTCTCAATAGATCAACCAGACTCAAGCTTAGCAAGGACATACTTTATCTGAGGAAAGAAATGGAAGAAAGGTGCTTAGTAGATAGGTAGGTAGATAGATAGATAGATAGATAGATAGATAGATAGATAGATAAAATAATTAGTGGTAAATATCAGTCTTCCTGTGATAATTTTAGAAACTTCATAAAAAATTAGGGTACCCATGATTCAAAGATGTAACTAAATTTTAGATTTCAGTAAAAACAAATCAGGTACTCCATATTAAAGACTATTTATCTAATCAATTGCTTCTAGTATCAGATATAAAAACCATAAAGCAATCTTATCTATACCATACACCCAAGTTTACTCATACTTCAGAAGTAAAAATAAAAACACATTACCTTATAAATATCTTCTAACTTCTTCTTTTCAGTTTCAAACTGTCTCATCCAGGAATATCTCTTTTCTTCTTCTTCTTGAAACTGTCTTTTTTCTTTTTCACTCTGTATTTTGAGAATTTCTTGCTTTTGGTCTTCCAGTTCTTTCTGCTTATCTTGCCAAGCCTCAAAAGACTGCCTACATTTTTCTTCCACTTCATAGTACCCAAAATTTATATCAAGATCATCTGCATTCATGAGGTAAAAATATTATATATAATATAAAATCTTTCAAACATGATTCAGCATAAAATATAAAAATTAATTGATGGGGCACTGGCATCACACCCAGTAGTACTCAGGACTTTTTCTTGGGTTTGTGCTCAGGAATCTTTCCTGATTGTACTTAGGGGATTATATGCAATACAGGATTGTATTACATACACAATCAGAACCAGATTGTATGCATGGCAAGTTATTAACCTCTGTAGTACCTAGTCTCTAAAGTAGCATAAAAGTGAAGAAATAATTCTAACAGATTTTCAAAACAAAAGTGCTTAAATACAAAAAGAAGAGTTTTGAGTAACATGGTAAACCTAATGCACTCAATAAATTACTTAATTTATCTTAAACTATCAGCACTTGATACAAAAATATATGTATGTGCAGGTGAGTTTGAAGTTAAATAACACTCAGGCGATAATAAAGTCAAGGATGAATATAATTATTACAGTCAGCAATGTGGAAACAAATTAAATAATTTCAATCAACTTAATTATGTCTATAAGGCATTTTTTGTCTTTGTGAAAACAAGGACAACTTCAAAAATTTGCAATTAGTTACACAAAGGCAGGATAATTTTTAAATATTGTGATTATTGTGCTAACTGACAAAAAAGAACTAGATAGTACAGGGAACACTATCCTTTGCTTCCTTTGCATGTGGTTGACTCTGGTTTGATCACTAGTATCACATATGGTACCCCAGACACTAAGAGAGATCATTCCTGAGCATAGAGATGGGAATGGCCTCTGAGCATCACTGGGTGTGGCAGCAACTCCACCACCTCCCTCTTCCCAAAAATAAAAAGACAAATGTCAAAAGGAAAGAAACATTATTTTTTAATAATAAATGCAAGTAACATAAAAATAATCAAAATTAGGATTCAACAGTCTGGTCCACCTGGAAAAGTATGTTCATCCATAGGTAACTCATGAGTACAAGACTCTAAGACAGAATCAGGATGATCACAATGGGTATTACTTCTCACAAATTCTTCTTTTTCTATTTCAGCTAATATCTAAGAGATTAAAAGAGTAATAATTAAAGAAAATCAAAATAGAAAATAATGTTGGCTTTTTAACAACATATGAACATATATCTAGAACTTTACTTCAAGCCCCTCAAATACAATTTAGTGAATAACTAATCTTAATACACTGAATAAGGGACTGGAGCAATAGCACAGCAGGAAGGGCATTTGCCTTGCATGCTACGGACCTGGGTCTGATTCCCAGCATCCCTTATGGTCCCCTGAACACCACCAGGAGTAATTCCTGAGTGCATGAGCCAGGAGTAACTGCTGTGCATTGCCAGGTGTGTGACCCAAAAACAAAAAAAAATAATAATACACTGAATAAATATGTTTTACAATGCAGACTGGATTTACAATGCAGGGCTGGAGCGATAGCACAGCGGTAGGGCACTTGCCTTACACGCAGCCAACATGGCTGACCCGAGTTTGATTCCTCCACCCCTCTCGGAGAGCCCGGCAAGCTACCGAGAGTATCTTGCCCACATGGAGGAGCCTGGCAAGCCACCCGTAATGTATTCGATATGCCAAACACAGTAACAACAAAATCTCCAATGGAGATGTTACTGGGCCCGCTCGAGCAAATCGATGAACAATGGGAGGGCCTTTACCTTACCTTACAATGCAGGCTATGTTATACCATCCTAATGTGTTACAAAATTCCAATACTTCTCTTATTGATCTATAGTATTCAATAAAAGTGACAATGATCAAATGTATCTAAAAATATTTCCCTCTAAATATGTTCTTTCCTGTTTTACTTATGATGATTGCTGACACTTTGCTAACACATGTATTAAATATATAATGATTATCTATTTCAACCTGAATTACGCATATCAAAATATTAAGCAATATTTACACTTAGACATTCACCATACATTAGGTAGAAGAAAACATGGAATCTTTTTTAAAGTGAAGTAATAGTACAATAACTCAAAATTAATATTGCACTTTTGAGTATGAACAAAAGAGAAAATATGAAACATACACTTAAGTACCCTTTACATTATGATAAACAATTTAAGGACAAAAATAGATTTATGTAAGAGCAGTGAAATTTCAGCAAAATGAGAAGTAAAACAAGTCCATAATTTTAAACATGTAGACTAGATCTCTTAACTACATTTCTAAAGGATTTTAATCAAAAATACTAAGATCCTTTGGAGCTGGGTAGATAGAACAGAAGATTCTATCTCTCCAGGGAATTTGTCTTACACGTTACCAAGTCAGATTCAATCTTTAGCACCCCAGATGGTCCCCCAAACACCACCAGGAGTGATCTCTCAGCCAGGAGTAAACCATGAACACGACTAGTTGTAGCCTAACCCAACCTCTCGGAGGAAAGAGTTTGGGTCACATTAGGTTATGCTCATGACTCTGGGATTGCTATTGGTAGCACATGGAGTGGCAGAGATTGAAAGGTAAACACCTTAACAATTAAGACTTCAAACTTCATTTAAAAATCTTTTCTTGCGTGCTGCTTTGTATTGGGGGAAGTTGAGTCAAACAGCATTGCTGAGAGCTTAATTCTGGTTCTGTGCTCAGGAAATATCCCTTGTGTAGCTCAAGGAACCATATATTTTGCCAGAAATTGAACGTAGTAGGCTGAGTGCATGGAATTGTGACTTCAATATGAATTCTCCTGCCAAATTTAAAATTATCAGTGAATTATCATAAGCAGAGTTCAATTCGAACAGTAAACTGAAGTATTTGCAGTCAAAAGTTAAACACATACCTTCATTAATTGCATTGGATTCTCCTTATATTCAGTTGGTAATTCTATCCTTAAATGCATGTGATCATTAGAAATTGCCCCATAATTACAACCTAGAATGAGAAAAATATATATATCTATTTTAAGTATTAGAATAATACAAAAAATGTTAAAATCCCTGGGTTAATTTTTTGTAACCATTATCAGGCGGTATAAATGATGCTTCTTGCCCTCTGAGGATAATTGATAGACTGTACAAGGTTCTCCCAGGTCTCAGGATTTTGCAGGGACTCTACTTCTTAGTGTATAGGTGCCATACAAGTGGAAGACAACATAAGTCAGTTTTTGATTACGAGTTCCAAAAGGACACCCAGCCAACAATTAACATCAAATGCCAGTCATTTCAGTGAGCCATCTTGGTACTCCAATCCAGTAAAGTCTTAAAATAGCTTCAGTTTTAATCAACATTTGATAATAGAGACACAAAAAATTCAACCAAGAGCTGCCTTACTAAGAACAGTCTAACCACAGAAATGCAAAAGTTAACAAATTATTTTATTGGAGGGGGCACCTCTGGCCGACTGACATGGCAAAATAAGTAAGTTTAGAGTTTACTGCCTGTGTGCTCAGGAATCACACCTGGTGGGGCTTGGTGAATCATATGTGGTGCACAGAATCAAACCCAGGTTGGCAACATGGAAGGCATGCAGCTTTCCAGCTGGCATTCTCACTGGTCTCATAAATTATGATTTTAAACCACTGCGTTTGTTTTATAACTTTGGGGATTTTTTTTTTTTGGTTTTGTTTGTTTTTTTTTTTGGGTCATGCCCAGCGATGTTTAGAAGTTACTCATGACTCTGCGCTCAGGAATTACTCCTGGCAGTGTTTGGAGAACCATATGGGATGCCAGGGATTGAATAAGGGTCGGCAGCATGAAGGTAAATGCCCTATCTGATGTACTAAAACTCTGGCCCCACAACTTTGGAACAATAAGCAGAATATCTATCTGGAAACACATACACACACACACACACACAAACACACACACAAATACTATTCTCCTGAGCTTAATGTTTGGGCTTTTTTTTTTGTCATTCATCTTAGTAGGTGGCTGGAGCGATAGCACAGCGGGTAGGGCGTCTGCCTTGCACGCAGCCAACATGGCCGACCCGAGTTCGATTCCTCCACCCCTCTCGGAGAGCCCGGCAAGCTACCGAGAGTATTCGATATGCCAGACACAGTAACAACAAATTCTCCAATGGAGACGTTACTGGGCCCGCTCGAGCAAATCGATGATCAACGGGAGGGCCTTTACTTTTACTTTATCTTAGTAGGTAAAACATCTTCTAGTGTCCACAACTGTCTCTCAATATATTTATACTTATAAATACAATTAGATTCTTTCTCCTATGTTTATTATTTATGTAAGTCTTAAAATATTTGATCTTTCATAAATTGGCTATGTAATCTGGAGGATTTTTTTCTATTTTATAGATTTTCAAATTCAATTACAAATTATTACTAGTTCATAATAAAATTTAAGAAGATATTACTTCCAACCTTCTTTTTAGATTGTTAATAGAATCATAATATTTTTCACACAATTTTGATAATTTGAATTAGACCATCAAACATATTTGGTCACAAATATATGTGATATGGTTTCCTAAATCACTATAACAGCAGTTGTGAAATGGATGATATCATTTGTATGTGGTATTTAGAATAACTGTAGCACTGTAGCACTGTCCTCCCCTTGTTCATTGATTTGTTCGAGTGGGCACCAGTAACGTCTCCATTGTGAGAATTGTTGTTAATGTTTTTGGCATATCGAATACACCATGGGGAGCTTGCTAGGTTCTGACATGTGGGCGGGTACTCTCAGTAGCTTGCCAGGCTCTCTGAGAGGGACGGAGGAATCAAACCCGGGTTGGCCATGTGCAAGGCAAACACCCTACCTGCTGTGCTAATGCAACGATATAAAAGGGGGATACCTAGGCCACCCTTAACCCTAGAGTATGGGGGAGAAGGAAAGAAATAGATTGAAGGAGAAGGGGAGTTGGAATGGATAAGAAGCAATGGGACTAGGGATCAAGGAGATTCATGAACATTAATGGTCTTAAGGATTAACAGAGCTAAATATTCAAACCATGGAGTCAACCGCACGGAAATCATGAAACTAACTTTAATAACCAAACTTAAAAGTGCAAAGATGACCGGCTGGGGCTGGGGCTGGAAAGCACATAGGAGAGGGAACCTGGGAGATGTGGTGGAAGGGAGTTGACCCTGGTGGTGGGATTGGGGATGGAACACTATATTCAAACACCCAACTATGAATAACTTTGTATCACATGGTGCTATAATAAAACAAAATTTGGGGGGAAATAAGGGAAAAAAGTTTTGACATACATTTAATGCAATCAATTTCCCATAATTGTATTTATGTCAATAAATATTGTATGTCATTAAATGTTTAAAAATCATTTCCTTTAATGGGATTACAGTTTATAAAACATGGTCTTGTTGAACATTTTGTTGCTTCCACTTTTCATGATAAAGTACGCTACTATTAATTCTAGTCATACTTTTGATCATCTAGTTATTCTTAGAATAATACCAAGAAGTGAATTTTCTCTGTTGATGCAATAAAGATTATTAGGTTTATAATAAAATTTTGTATTTAACACTTCTAAAATATTCTCATGATTCATTATATTTAATATGAATTTTAAAATATGATTTTAATTAAACCCTTTCAAACAAAACTGCTACTAATTAGTGTTTACTGGAGATACAAAGAAGGCATTAAGGAAAATAAATGAACTAAATTGAGTGGCTCAAATGGAGGAATTCTGACACTGGTTGCTAGAGATTCTATAAAAGCCTTGAAAGTATAAAAACATAGTACAGAAACAGTTGTGAACCACATTACCTCAATAAAAGAGTTTACTTTATAGATTAGAAACACATGCATGCATACAACAAGAGACAGAAATTCTAAATTATAAACTATTTTCTAAGTTACACACTATTCTTTTTCTAAGAGGTACCATCTGCCAAATAGATGGAACTTTATTCACCTAAATCATCAGTATCTTCCAAATCCTGAAGAATGAGTTCTTCAGTGCTGTTACTTTTTTGGCTTATGGTGTTAATACAGTGAAGAATTGAGTCAGGTAATTCAATTAAATCCTAAAAATACAAGTGAAAGAAACTGAAAAGTTGTTTACTACCATTACTAACTGACAAAAATTATCTACTTTATTCTACATCAAAAGTTTGAAAAAATGTATTAATGACATAGAAATGGTTCCTTTAAAGTTCACAGTTCAAAGATATTTGGTTTTCATGTTCAGATGGTTAAAACATGTTTGCCTTACTTAAATAAGCTGTAAATAAAAATACACAATCACAAAAATTGATTTTTCTAAGAACTATTTATGTTCAATGTAATATCTACTAATTCAAGGGATAATTATTCTTAATGATATTTTTATTTTCCTTTGTTTATGTTTTCGGGCCATACTCAATGATACATAGAGCTTAATTCTCAATCTGCAATCAACGATCACTCCTGGTACCTCACTGACCACTTGGGATGCCATGGATCAAACCCAGGTAAGCTAAGTTCAAGGAAAGTACCGTACCCACTGCAGTTGGAAAATGATCTTTAAGTTTAATGCATTTTTTAGCTATATCCAGTTATTCCTAAGGGTTGCTCCAAAGATACCATATGGTGTGTGGTTAGCTCTATGTAAGACATGTGCCTTAAACCCTATGTTATTTCTCTGGTCCCTTCAGATTTTTTGTGGTTCTTTTTTTTTAATATTAGTTGACAAGATTTGAAAGAGCACAATAAATAATGTGGCCCAAATGATATTTTTCAAATGAAAATCTATAGTAGGGTAAAAAATGAAGAGAATAATGAAATGGAAATATAGCTAAATACATGCAAAAGAAACATGACAGATCATCAAGAAGACCATTCAACAAGTAACCATGGGACTGTTGGCTAGGGAAATATATGAAGGAAAATTTCAAATTGAATCTGTATTTCATAATGTGTATGAAAAGAAATTTCTATTCTATAAAATATTATGCTACAAAATGGGTCTTTTATACCCATTTTTGCAAGATAATTGTTGTGAAAGAATAAGTTCTATGAGTACTTAAAAATAGCGGAGAAATCGTAAAATGGAAAGGTGTTCAACATAATATTCCCACTGATGTAAAAATTTCACTCTGGGACCAGGGAGAGTATAAGGGTTGAGACCTATGTAGTGAACTCTGGTTCAATCCCCTGCATCACATGGTTCCTGGGTATCACTGAGTGCAGTCTTGCAGGTCCCTGAATACTGCTAAAGCCTCTTGGATAATCTGCAGTGTTGTAGATCCCTAGCAGCATCATTTCTTAGGCCCTCACATTAGACCACTGACAGGGGAGACGAGAATTGCAGGAGTAGTCACCAAACACCCTTAGAGAAGCGGTCCAACAAAAGCTGCCTAAATTCATGCCAACTTACTTTGTCCTCATGTCAAATGCCTGGCAGGCTGAGACCCCCCCTAGCCAAGATAAGCAGCCGTGCCCAGGCTCACAAGTCCATTGCTCCATTCCACCCTACACTACATAGACTTAGCCTCTGCACCGCTGTTTTTTCAATTTGGTCTAGTAAGAGATAACATTCTGTGTCTTTGCCATCTAAATTAAATAAACACATACCAAAATATATTGTGATCTTAAGGAGAAAATAAAATAGAAAAATATATAAGGCATACTGAGAAAAGTAGTATTTCCTCCAGAAAGGTACTAAAGCTAAAAGATTTAAATTTCTAACACTTACTAGGGCCAGAGGGATAGTATAGTGGGTAAGGTGCTTGCCTTCTAGGAGGCCAATTTGAGTTCTATTCTTCAGCACCCTATACAGTCCTGACATCTGTCAGGAGTAATCCCTGAGTGTAGAGCAAGTAATAAGACCTGAGAACTATCAAGTGGTGGTCCTCCACAACAACAAAAGAGAAAACGGGAAAAAAAAACCAAAACACTTACTGAATCACTGTCATTGCTCTGTGTTTCTGATTTTGAGTCACTATCAACATACTTTTCCAAGGAAGAAATACTGATTTTCTCCAATTCAGCTTCTATTTCTTCATTGATCTTTGCCTCTTCATCATCATTGTCACTCATCATCCTTGTAGTAAGAGAAAACAAAGGTTTGAAGGGGTCACTGAATAGCCAATAATGGATATGTTAATAAGTAAAGGGAGCAGGAACCTAGCTCAGAGATTCTGAATCCAAAGCTAGTCCTCCTCTTCATCTCCCTTGAAGTCCAATATATTTTCTAGCCCAATATTTGTCAAAATGCAGATAATCATTCATTAGTGACCCAAGGAATTAATTTGGTGGCTTTTCCTCAGCAAGTTTTAAGAGTATGCTGGAACAGGAAAAGTTGGACTAGAAAAGAAAAGTTAGACCTGAAAAGAAACTGTAATGTATTATGTGTACTAGAGATAAGAAATCTTCCAAAAGCCTTGTTTTATTACAATGTATATGCATATGTAAGTATGTATAAATTGCAATAAAAATGTTATCTTTATCAATCTGTTCTCACGTTGGTGGGTTTGGAAAAGTGTGAGAAATTCTGTAGCAGTCAACTATTATATAATTTTTATTATTTTATTATATTTTTAAAAATTTTTATTAGTGAAACACCATGAGGTACAGTTGTAAAGGTAAAGGTAAAGGCCCTCCCGTTGATCGTCGATTTGCTCGAGCGGGCCCAGTAACGTCTCCATTGGAGACTTTGTTGTTACTGTGTCTGGCATATCGAATACTCTCGGTAGCTTGCCGGGCTCTCCGAGAGGGGCAGAGGAATCGAACTCGGGTCGGCCATGTTGGCCGCGTGTAAGGCGAACGCCCTACCCGCTGTGCTGAGGTATAGTTGTAGACTTACAAATTTTTGTGCTTGGATTTCAATTATACAATGATCAAATACCCATCCCTCCACTACTGCCCATTTTCCACCACCACGGGTCCCAGTATCCCTCCCACCCCCATCCCCCAATCCCACCCTGCCTCTGTGGCAGGGCATTCCCCTTTGTTCTCTCTCTCCTTTTGGGTGTTGTGGTTTGCAAAAGAGGCACTGAGTGGCAATCATGTTTGGTCTATACACATGCTAGGGAAAAAGGGAGTTCAGATATTTAATTTTTTAGACTCGTTTACATTTTAATTATTTCAAGCCCTTCAGCTTTATACCCCTCTTCTGAGCATTCCTTCCTTTCTTCTCTTCTCCTCTCACCTTCTCTCCTCCCCTCTCACCTTGCTCTAATCTATCCCATGATTCTCTTCTTGCTTGCTTCTCTTTTTCCGTTCCTTTGTTTCTTTTTCTCACTCACTTAGGAATTAAATTTTTCAAATTCTGTTAGACACATTCACCACAGCTGCATGCTGCACTGGTTTAATACACTGAGTAGATGACACCCCCAAAATCCTCTTTGAATTTATATCTTGCTTAACAAAAAATTAATCCCTGTATTTTACGAGACTTTTTCCCTGACATCTCTTATTTATCTTAGTAGGAAAGAAGCCTTTTTGCATAATAGTGTGTAGTCTTTTATTTATGCTCTGACTCTGAGGATGTCTCACCTATTGAATTGTGCAACTATATTTTTAAATGGATACATTTACTGTAGTAACAATGGAAAGTTAGCCAAGATTAAATAGTAAAAATTGACAAGCGGTGTAGTTTCTAAGCAAAATTAGGTATCATCGCACATACATACACATACATTCTCTTTCTCTCTCTCTCTTTCTGTCTCTCTCTCTCCCTCCACAGAAAATTTCTGAAAGCACTTTATGAATTTTCCATTTTCATTTCATAACTTTGAACTCAAAGCTCATACATACTGTGAATATGAATTATTTTTATATTTTACGTACACAAGGCTATTCCTAAGTTCCTCATCTGAAGGAAAACAAAATAATTCAGAACCGATGCAAAATATACTACCCTATAAATAAATATAAAATTTGATTCAAATGCCTTGGTAGGTAGAAAATTAATTTCTTTTAAACCATCTATAAAACAGAGTGCCAGGTATACAAAATTTCATGAGAAAATGAAAGGAGAACACGATTAGAGCAGGGAAAAGCTATTTCCAAGGTATACCCCTCTCTGTTCACCTACTATTTAGACCAGTAGATGTTAGACCAGTAGATGCTAAGTCATAATGTAACGCAATTACATTAAATTTCCAGTTGTCATTTTTTTAAATCGTACAGAGAAATTAATTTGTATCTAATTTGAGGTTTAATTTTAACATTTCATTTTATACAACATATTCAAATATTACTTCAATGTAAAACCACCAATATTATTGGGAAAAACATGAATAATGTACTTTTTAATGACTTTAACATTATTAAATGTGAAAACTTACATTCATGTTTCATATACCGATTCATGGAAATCGAATACATATTTTACACCTCCAGCACATTCCAACTCGGACTAGTAGCGTTTCCACTGGCACTCAGCAATCACGTAACTCTAGTGGATTTTATACAGGGCAGTGCAGGAGGTCACAGCAAACGACTTCAAGTTGAATATTAGTCCGCGAATTTAGTTGAAGATGATCAAAGTAAATGGAAAATCGTCAGCAACTCCACCCTTCGACCTTTCAAACCACCTTACTTTGCAAAGATAGTGCAAAGCAAGGTAAGGAAATTTTTATTAAAAGGAAATAAAATTATGTAGGAGGAAAGCGGGCGATAGAAACCTATTCAGCAAACAAGTAGTCAGCTCGAACCATCGACAACGTCTTGAGAGGAAGGGCAAGATTTCAGCAAGGGTATAGAGTGCACCAGCAGCAGAGACTCAGCTCCGCTGATCGCGCGGCTCCAACCCTCCGCGCGCGGTTTCCCGCAGACCCGAAAGGGGAGCTAGCCTGTCTGCTCTCTCCACACACCAGCCTCACCTCGCACAACTCCAACCCAGGGGTGGGCAAAAGCGGATTACCCACCCGTGGCTAAATCCCTCCGCGGGTTGGAAGACAGCGCCCCGAATCGCAAACAAACCGTAACCACGGCAACAGCCAATCGCAGGGCCGGTGCGCCGGGGTTGCCCTACAGGTGCCCCAGTAGGACAAACTTATCGCCATTCTGAAGTTGGAAGGGATGCTGAATTTCAGAAGCTAAACAAAAGTTTAAATTCCGCTTCCCCCACCAAACCAGGTACATTTTGAACTTTTGCATGTTGTGTAAACCTATTTAATAAAATAACTTTTTGTTAGAATTTCCCGGGAGAGTTTGACTTTAAATGATTTCAGAGCTAAGTGAATTTAGAGAGATCTAGGGATTGTTAGTTGCTCATACATACATCATTCATCCACAAAACCTTAATCCTGAAGAATGATTTGAGAGGCCTGGAAGTATGGAAGAGAAGTAAATAAATCGTTTAACTTTCCGTAGCAAGTTTTTAATTTTGACAAAAATTGATTATTTCTTAATATCTATCAAAAATCCTTAATAGTGCAAGTGCGAAAATTGTTTTCTGAACATGTTTATTTTCTGGAATATTGATGGCAACGACAATTGTTTTAAAGTAAAATAGACGTCTTAAGTACATCCCATGCTATTTAGTTTTTACTTCAAATGTATCTGTGTGTTTGTGTATAGCCAATTTTATAATAACACGAAATTTTATTTAGTCAAAAATAATTTTTTAATTGTTTTATTCGGTGCCGATAGTTAAACCCAGATATCATGTATGCAAGGAATGTTCTCTGAAAATGATTCTACATCTCTGACCTATTTAATTTTTCAGTTTTCAAACAAACATTAAATTCCAAGAGGAAGTAGGTATAATTAAAAAAGATATCTAACATACAGTAAGCTAAGAGCAAACATTTCTTTGATTCTTGGGAGGAAAAAAAGATCATATTTCCTGGTTTCATAATATTTATTGCAGCAACAGAAAAAGTTACTAATACAGAGTGAGAAGTGAGTAGACTTTCATGTTAAATAAATAAGGTAGTGCTGCATTCAAAAAACTGATTTTCCAAATAAAACTACTCCAGGTTTTAGAAGTAATAAAATTTGTAACATCCTAAAACAAACTCAGACTCCAATGCCTTTTGTTAAGATTTATTATTGATTGATATACTGTGCAAATACTTCATTTAAAATGCACATGCTGCCATATAATGCTGAATTCAGATGTAAAAATGTTAGCACCATAGCACTGTCCTACCATTGTTCATCTATTTGCTTGAGCAGGCCCAGTACTTATGAAATTATTCATGCTTTTCTGGAAAAGCATCAAATCCAGTAGTTAATTAGTGTTCAAAGCAATAGCTAATCTAGTAATCAATTAGTTTGAAAGTAGTTTCAAAACTGCTTTCTAAATTGTTCATTATTGAAACTGTTTCTAGCAAAATTGATTTTATTTAAGGTTCTGCAGATTATAGATTAATTGATGGTATGTGCTCCACTTTATGACCAAAACTCAGCAGACCTACGTTTCAGTTTCCCCCATCAGAAAGTCCCGACTTCTCAGAAAACAATATCATACTGGGCAGATAAACCGCCCTGTGGCAACAGCCTATCAGAGCAGGAGGCATGGGCAGTGGTGCCTAGCCAAATAGAGGGGATCAGGGTAGTGGAGTCACCAACTCGAGAGGGACCAAGAATTGGACACATAGACCTGGTGCCTGAAGTCTCAGGACCAGACAAGGACCGGAATTGGAAACATATTGCCAGTTTCGAGAAAAAATTGCTGTTATGTAACCAAACCCTATATAAGCTGCTTAAAATTCAGAATCGGGGTCCTTGTCAAGAATCCACTGTGTTGGATGAGACTTGGACCCTAGCTCCAGTTAGCGATAAAGCGGCCTTGTATTTGCATCCTCGTGTCTGGTCTGGTCAATGTGCAAGCGAAACTCCCTTCCCAGGACATAGCAGGTGCTACTATATATATTATGTTTAATATTTTTTTACTTTGGAAGAAAACTGATGACTCTACAAGTAAGCCCAATAAGGGACAAAATATGAAATTATCTCAGTAGCCACAAATTATAAGTTAATTTATCTTAAAAGTATTGTATAGAAATGCAACCTTTAGATGAAATGTATTTAATTCAAATTTTCTAGAAATTATAGCCTCAAGTTGTTTGTTTATTCAGACAGTTGTTTTTGTGGACCTTTCCCCCAATTTGGTAAGTAATTTTCTTTCTATTAAATTTTTCTCTTATGAAATTCATTGACAGGTCTGCTTAGATTATATTCTTGCTCACAGTATATTCCCCATTGCATGATAAATATTGAGTTCAGGAAAGGATAAAAGAGTACTATTTGATCCTTACATCCCTGGCAAGAATAAAATCTCTCTGAAATGTTAATTGAGGGGCTAGAGACATAGCACAGCAGGTAGGGAACTTGCTTTGTAAGCAGCCACCCAGGTTCAGTCCCCTGAATACATGGTTTTCTGAGCACTGGCAGCAGTGATTACTGAGCACAGACAGAGCAAGGAATAAGCCCCACAGCTAAAGTTGGCCCAAAAAACAAACAAAAATAGAAAAAGTAAAAAGATTTAGTTGAATAATAAAATCAATTAGTATAAAGGCATTCTCCAACTATTGAATTATTCTTTATATGGAAAGAACATAATTAAATACCTCAAAATATTGTTGTAGTTACTCGAATAGATGCATAACTGGTACTTGTTTGAAATTTCTTTAAGGTATTTATTGAGTACTAATATCTGAGTATGAAGTCCATTGTGATTCTAAGTTCTGTGCTTCAGTTTAATTTTACTTAAAGTCTAGCCCACATTTTGAGTTTCCATTATTAACCCTTTCTGTGCTCTTTCCTTGCTGCTGACACACCATCTACTTCAGCTTACCACTTCTTCAGCATCCCAAACCCATTTTTCATCTTCAAGTATTCTTCCTTATATAACCTCAATATTTCTATACAAAGAGATAATATAATGAAATTAATGACTGCTATTTAACCAAGCATTGGGCCAAATCACAAACATAATCTAATTCAGTTTTCATAGAGGAAAATGCTAATGTCATTTACATTTACATATGATAATATTAAAGCCTGTAAAGGCTAGTGAGAATATTTCACACCTTTAGGTTTGAATTTTAGCTCTGCCAGATTTTTGTTCCTTAAGCACAAAAGTAATAATTTTTCATTAAAGTAGTTTTACTTTCCATGTCTTTTCTCATTGATAACACTAGGAATAATAGCATAATAGTATATAATTTGCAAAATTCTTGTAGTGCATGGAATATTTTATATATATATGTATATATGTGATACATTATGGAATATGGGATAATATTTTAGTTAATCAGTAAGCTCTACAAACCTGGGTTTACATTTCATCTCAGCCTTTCTGAAGTCCCATGCTGTCACCTCTAAGTCCTCATTTTTCTCATTTTGAGTACTTTTCCCATTCATTTTCTCATTTAGACCACATATTTCTTATTAACAAGTACTTTAAAATTTTTAATAGGTTCCTGTTATGGCTTCTTTCCAGATGTGACTTACACTTATGACAACTTTAAAGTTTCCTGTTACTTTGAGAAAAATAGAAGCAATTGTTTAACAAAGCAAGCATGGTCCTCTGCAGTTACCAGTAGACCATCTTAGCAGGTCTACTCTCTAGCTTTATCTCATCTCTTGCTACTCTGAAGCATACCTTAGTGGTCTTCTCTACAAAGCTTGTCAACATGACATTTCACCTGTCTTGAAAACGTATTGCCTCCACTCTATGTTGTTTATTTTATCAAGTCCTTCAGAAGGCATCTCAAGTCCATCTCCAATGTGAAACTGTAGGGTTGTTTAATCCATGCCCTCCAACCCCAACACGTAAATCAGAATTCATTTCTCATGTTTTAATACTTCTCTTTTATGCTAATGAAAATTTAAAAAATACTTCTCTTTTATGTTTTTTCTGATTTATCCATTTTGTATTCTCATCTTACAGAGAACTTAAAAACAGAACCAAGGGGGCTGGAATGACAGTACAGCAGGTAGGGTGTTTTGTTTGCCTTGCATGCGGCTGACCCAAGTTCGATTCCCTAAACACTGCCAGGAGTAATTCCTGAGTGCAGAGCCAGGAATAACCTCTGAGCATCGCCGGGTGTGACACAAAAAGGAAAAAAAAAGGAACCAAAAAAGTAGTTTGGATACTATTTAAGTAGTAAAAAAATGACACATATGTAAAGCAAATTTTTTAAAATTATTCTTCCCATGTAGGTGTATATTACAATAAAATATATCTCTACTGGTAGGTCATCAGTTAACTAGTCATAAAATAAAAGCAATACTGCCACGAGATCTTGTTTTAATTTAGTACAATTCAGTAAAAATTTGATTTCACTATTTGTACTGTGGAAGGTATGTAAATTTTTTGTTATATATTGCAAATATTTAGATAGGGACGTCACTAACATGTTGTATATCTTTGCATTCACATCTCTTTGTTTTCAGTTAGGTTGCTTGA